AGCTTTCGAGCCATCCTGTGGAGACTGAACTAAATTGGTTTCAAAATGATAACAGTGTGCCACAAATAGAAAGTAAAATAGAAGTGAGAACAGTGAAATTATGTTTCTGTCCTTTTTATGCTGCATCAGAGACCACAAACTGGGATTTTCACAGGTATGTACCTCTTAGGCTTGAGATCCAGTATATCCAGACCAGTATATTGGATTGTTAGATCTATTTCACACCTGTGAGTGATTCAGTCCCTCTGTTTTCCAGGATTTTCTACCCTAAAAGTGCCCAAACACATTAGGCAACTCCCTGTTTGGTCTGTAACTTCCTTGGACATCCACCTTCACTTGTTCACACAGGCTCAACAGACTAGGGACTAGGGGAGACAGGGCTATTTCTTCAGCCTCCGAAACCAGGGTTCAGCTCGTGCCTAAAACAGAATTGAAGCCTGTGGCTCCTGAGCTGCACTTGGCAAAGAGCACTCCTATCCTCTCTCCACATCACTGAATCTTCTCCCTCAGCTCTAGACCCTTCTTGCCAGCTGAGCCTATGTCCCCTGCCCAGGAGAGGAAGAGCAAGGCTGTACCTACTTCTTCACTATTACCCTTCTCAGTAGAGAGGCAACTTCTTTTCCCTTCTTTGTCCATCCCTTTTCTACCAATTTACAAAGCCCTTTTGAAGATGGGGAGACCATCTACAAACTCTTACATCATCATCTAGATAATGGGGAGGTGCTTGTGCCCGGAAGTAAGAGGCAGCATTTTCAGATGTCATTTCCAATGAAATGGCATTCCAAGATAGTGTTTCAGCTTTCTTCCTGTCTCCATCACCTTCCGTGACTCAGGGTTTGAAACAGGTTTGCTAGTTTCCCTTTAGGAAGGTTCTCAGGACTGGGAAGGCTCTGCAACCTCTTGACGTCCAGATACGAGGAAGCATCCAGATACCACATGTCCCCTCCTAGGTTACAATGGGATTGTCATGACTGCCCCATGGAAATAAAACATAAATTGCTAGGTTTGCCTTGAGGTTACTCCGTCACCTTCCAAAGTAAAAAGGGCCAAAGGATCTGGAATTCCACTTTTCCTATGAGGAACTGGATTTATCCACTTCTTGGAGACACAGTTACAAAAGGGTAAAAAGAAAATGGAGTTTAGGTTTCTAATTTCCCACCAGACTAGATCCTACCACAGAATAAAGGAGAACAATTCAGGGCCCTTTATGGGATAAAAAGAATTTGTCACACTTGGAACAGGAGATATCCGGAGTCCCCAGGATTAAAAACAACAACAACAAAAAGGCATTTCATGTTCTCCACCACCCTTTCCAACTACAGAAAAGTGGAGATGAGAATTTTGGTACTTATGACTACAATAGACAAGGGTTTGACACCTTCCCAAGCATTCTTCAGCATTACACTAATTCATTACACCAGCAGGAATATCTTGGACCTGACAACACCATGTTTCTAATTTCAATAGTAATGTACTAGCTGTCTTTAAAGTCATTCTGAATGGATAGTGAATGCATATAGCTACTGTGATCAAGAGAGAAAGAAGGAATAGGCATGGAAGGCTGAATTTTTTCAAGAAAATTGGACTTGCATCTTCCTTGGGAAAATTGAGGAAGATCTGATTTGCCTGGATCTGGCAAGGATGAAGGTGGTAAATCTAGAACTCCATTGCACAGCTTTTCTGGGAACAGCTTTTCATCAGCAAGAAGAAGAAAAACTTGACATCTTTGCAGTTTGCATTTAACAGACATAATAAAATACAGTACTGTTATGCAGTGATGGAAGCAGTAGAGAAAAACCCCAGTCTAATTCAGGTGGTGATATATTTAAGCAGTGTCCCCAGCTGGTACTGAGTACTTTCGTGTCTTGAAATGAAATGCTGAGAGAGTAAAATCTATCGCTTTTGGCTATTTTCAACTGACTTTATGCCTGTATACATTTGTAAATATCCTTGTGAACAGAGAAGGGGAATTAAAACAGAAGATGGGGTTTTAGGCACTGAGACCACTTGTTCTATCACAGTGAGGAACACAGATGCTACCAGTATAAAGCTGCTAGCTCTTCTGCAGAGATTTTAAAATGAGGCAAGGGTTTGCTGCATTGAAGCCAGTGCATGGTGTGATCTCGGGGAAAGCTGTTAAATGAATCTAAAGCAGTAATAGAGTTACTTTACCTAAAATTAGGTACCCCAGAAGATGCAGCCTCTTTGGGGTAGAAACAGAAACGCTCAGTCAGAACACTGTCGAATTTGATTGCATGCACTGACTGCATAGCTAGCAAAGAAAATCCCAGCATAGCCTGAATGAAAATTATACTGACACTCACAGTATCCATTATACATCTTATCAAAAGCTGAACATTCAGTAATCAGTACAAAGAGACTGAAAGGTAAGTCCTGATCTGCTGACACAGGGCAGAGTTGGAAGTGTGCTTGCTCAGCAACACAGATGCAGTGGAGCCCTGCTTTGAACTCAAGAAGCAATGAGGGAGACCTGGGTGTCTGCAAGTGCTTGGCTGACCTTTCTGCATGGTTAATATTGCACAGAGTTTGTTAGACTGTCTGTTAGGAGAGAAAAAAAAGGGGGCTGAGCAGTGGGTTATTGTGTTATCCTAAACCACAAAAATAACCCTTCTAAGAAAAACCCCATGCAACTGAAGGTCACAGTGCTCATTTTCTGCCATTTACAGTAAAAAAAATTTTCATCTGAGGGACATACAGCTGAAGGGACAGCTTTGTGCCAGCAATTTATGGACATATTTCATCCCTCAAATATGGGCTGCTTGCTTCCACGCAGTCACTGTAGGCTTCCCGGACAGTTACCTGGAGATGGTAGCCATTTCCAGAATTTGACAGAGATCATAACTGGGCTGACTTAGACTAATACTAAGTCTATTTCTTTCCTTCAACTGTTGAGAGGCTTTGAAAGATACGAGCTTCTAATGAAGGAGCTTCAGTTAAGTACCTATTTAACTGAATTGGTGCTGCCTAAGTATAAATAGAATCAATCTAGGTTTTAGTTAATTAACAAATGAAAAGAGAAGTATCAAGACATATTTAAAAATCTCTTGTGTCCTCAGATAGCAAATGAAGTTTTGTCTTGTTTTATTCTTAAATGTCAGCAGTGGACTTAGCATCACTAATACCATGTTTTAGGCTGAGGTAGTTCTGAAGCATGCCTCTACATCTCAATTTTTAAAATACTTTGGCAGTGGGCTCCAGTGAAGGCATTACACTTCCACTGAAATCAGGTCGGTAACTGAACAGGAGCCTGGCTCTTCACTTTGCACTGGGCCAACTGCAGCAACACTGTTGTGCACTTAAAAACTGTTGTCCAGATTCTGCAAGTAAGTACCAGGTGATGCTAACATGTTTTCTCTGTTGCTGCAGCTCTGTTGCTGAAGCTAAAGTTGCCATTTATTTTGACTGTAATCAGATTTCAGCAACTCATCAGACTGTACAACCAATGACCAGCCTTGGTTCTGGGCCTGCCACTCCCCTGCTCCCACTCCACAAACTTCCTCCCTTAGGGAAGGGTGCTGATGGTCCCTGGGCTGTTCAGAGCTTCATCCCTCTAACACAGGAATTAATTAATTGCCACCAATGGAAGGCTAACCACAATCCTGTCCACTGTATCTTTGGTCTCTTCTTTAAAAGCAGTACAAAAGAACCTCCCCTGAATCAGTGCAGAAAAGGTGGAAGGTGGAAGTTCTAGAACCAGGCACAGACCAGCTGCCCTGCGTGCAGCACCTGGGAGGTGTGAGAGCCCTGCATGCTCACCAGAGGAAGCCTTCAGCATATCACAGCTAGCATTTAAATCCATCAAATCATCGTTTGTGATTACCTGTAATTTTCCCCTGAGGGCATTTATTTTCTAAAATTAGAATGAAATTATCTAAATACCTTCATTCTGCAGTTAAACAACTTTATCTCCTGGGAACATCTCCCTGTCCTTAAAAGCCTGTCTAGCAGGTGTGTTGGGACATCCCAACTTCTGTCAAGAGCCCATGCAGCTGAACACCAGGTTTTTGCAATGTGTTGAGCTATTTCTCATCTCACTTTCCTGGTTGAATTGTTTTGTGGTCAGGAGATGAGCACAGCAGTCGGAAACCTGCCTTTAGAAGAGAGGTCCATGCATCACACAGAGGCAATCAGTTAAGAAGTATAACTCGGTAATCAAAGTTAGCTTGGTTTTTTGCCTCTCCATAAAGATCTGTGAGGCATTTGCAATTGGAACGTGTTTTGCACACGGCAAACAACCAAGCTCCTACTCCAGAAAAGAAATGTGTTATTACTGCGAGGTGGCAGTCCGTTAACTACTGGGGTAGGGGGTTAAGAGGCGAGGGGTTTGAGTGTACTTGGATAATGAGTTTATCTTTAATTACTGTTACATGAGAGATTGCAGCTGAGATGTCTCGTGCCAAGGTAAGCTGAAGGAAATTCTGGGAGAAGGAAAAATACTTTTAATTGAAAAAAAAAACCCCAACAACTTATAATTTTTATCAATAAAAATGTCTTTTATCGCCCCCCCCCCCCCCCCTTCGGATCTGCCGCTAGGGCCGCTTCCCGCCGGTGTCGGGCCTCCCCGACGGGACAGAGGCAACGCACAGCTAGCTGCTCCGAGGGGATGGCTCCGGCCGTCGGGTCTACCCGTGGGCCCCTCAGAAAAGCCGTTTCTGAAAGGCGCAGGGCAGTGGCGAGGGTCCCGCCGACGAGAGGGCACCGGAACCGCAGCGAGGTGAGGGCGCCCGGCGGAGCGGGCAGAGGGCTGCGGGCTTCGCCCCTTCTCCCCCTGGGCGGCGATCTCCTCCCTAAAGGGTGTCTGTGTGACACAGGCGACCCCGAAAGGGAGACAGAGTCCACCTCTCCCCCGAGGAGCCCCCGCCCCGCTGCCGCCCTCTCCTCGCCGCCCGCCCCGTCTCACCCCCGGATCCCGCCCCCGGAGGTAGCTCTCCCAGGGGAAGCCGGTCGGGAAGGGTGCAGACGGCAGCCCCGAGGTAATTATTAATGGCCGTGCCCACGGTGCGGGGGTGGGGGAAGAGGCGAGGTGAGATAAAATGGGACGGCGGGGGGCTGGGAGGAGGGAGCCGCCGTCGCGGAGCCCCGCCGGCAGCATGGTCGTCGCCGCGCCAGTTCTTCTGCTGCCGGTGCTGCTGCTGTTGCTGGGGCGGCCGCTGCTCGCGGCGCCGGGGCAGGGTGAGGGCACCTGGTCCCGCTTCGCCCGGCTGCCCTACCCGCAGGACCAGCTCTTCCTCCACGACACCTTCCCCGACGGCTTCCTCTGGGGGGTGGGCAGCGCCGCCTACCAGACAGAGGGCGGCTGGCGCCAGGGCGGCAAAGGAGCTTCGATCTGGGACACCTTCGCCCACCGCCCGTCCACGCCGGCGGGCGGCGACGTGGCCAGCGACAGCTACAACAACCTGTACCGCGACGCAGAGGGGCTGCGGCGCCTCGGGGTCTCGCACTACCGCTTCTCGTTGTCCTGGGCCCGGCTGCTGCCCAACGGCACAGCGCCTGTCAACCCCGCCGGGCTGGCCCACTACGGCCGGCTGCTGGGCCACCTGCGGGAGCTGGGCATCGAGCCCGTTGTCACCCTGTACCACTGGGACCTGCCGCAGGGTCTGCAGGACGCCTTCGGCGGCTGGGCCAGCCCTGTTCTGCCCCAGCTGTTCCGTGACTACGCCGAGCTCTGCTTCCGGCACTTCGGAGGGCAGGTGCGCTACTGGCTGACCATGGACAACCCCTACGTGGTGGCCTGGCATGGGTACGGCACTGGGCAGCTGCCGCCCGGTGTGCGGGGAGGCCCGCGGCTCGGCTACCGGGCAGCCCACCACCTGCTACAGGTAAATGGCGGGCAGTGGGAAGGGGCCCTGGCAGCTCCTTCGCCTCTGGGTCGTGCCAAGGGGATGGGTACGGAGGCTGCTGGAGCGGAAACCAAAACGGCATGCCCGACAGAGTGCGAACAGCTGGATTATGGGGTAAAGGATAAAGAGAGGGTAGACAGGAACTTTCTGTCTGCGTTTATTTTGAATTTGTGGAAACATGCTGAGTTAAAGTTCTCTCTGTATCCTGCAGAAGTGTTCATTCCTTGAGAATGCTGTTCTGGGTGGGTGAGTGGATGCATTTGGCAGTGCCAGACAGCGCTGGCTTACTAAGGTTACTGTGCAAATGTTTAATATGACTGCGAAGAGAGCTCATGTATTGATAAAAACTCATTGTGAGTTAATGGTGGTGGTAAAGGTGGCTGCAATGGCATACTGAGACAGAGTATGGGTTTTTGTTTTGACTATGACCCCTTCTGGGGTAAAAAGACTGTTCCTGAGTTAGCCTAGTAAGTGGCATAAGTAATTTACTATATGTAATCTTTATGCAGTGTGTCTGTATGTGGTGTAATTGTAATGTGTGCTGTAAGCAAACATTTTGGATTCTCAGGGAGAATTAAGTAAAAGTGTGTACAAATTCTTCCAGTGACAGGAGAAAGGATTCAGCCTAACTGCAGCGGTGTGGCCATTAAGGCATGCTTTGTTGTACCTTAATCCACATTTATGAACTCTGCTAATGCCCATCTGCCCAACATACACTTAACTGTCAGTAGTTACATCCTAATGAGTATCGTACATTAGAGGTGAACACCAGGAAAACATTCAGCACATGACTTACTCAACTTTTTGCCACTTTCCTGCATTACTTGTGCACTGTTTAGTGCTACGAATAAGAGAAAATATAAGTAGGGAAAATGTGGGTAAAATTTCAGATCAAGTTTCTGGTCCTGAAACCTTTAAACTCTTCATTTAGTATGGTGGAGTGTACCTGACTCTGTTTCCCCCTTGAGTATATCCCATGTGACTATAGTATCTGCCTGAGCCCCTCATAATCTCAAGCATCTGCTTGTTCTCATAAAAGCCCTATGGAGAAGGAAGGAACTTTTCTGTTTAACAAGTGAGCAACTGAGGCATAGACTTTGCCTAAACCATATAAAAGGTATAATTAAAGTCTACCAATACTTGGTTTTAGTGAGAGAACCTTGTGTTTAGTTCTGTCCTAGTGACTGTCAGTCCGGGTTTTCACAATTAACAGATGTTTCTTTGTACACAAGAGTGTAAGGCAGCAAGGTATCATTTTTTCCACCTTTCATGAATGAGGAACCAAAACACAGATGCAGTTAAGACCCTAAGTGCCCACTGACTATTAGTGCCCTTTTCCTGGCATGTGCTCTTTTTAGAATATTGGTCCCGTTTACTATACTTTCCGCTCTTCTGCATATCAGTTCCCAAAATTTCAAATCATCTTCAGCAAAAATAAGGGTTGTGCCATTTATGCAGAAGAGCTCCCAGAACAGCTCCTCCAGATAGGAGTCTTCAGTACATGCAGAGAGAGCCGAATACTTAAGGACAGAGAAGTGAACAGCTTTAACATTGAAATCCTCCTTTTCCTTCTTACATCCCCATTGCTTATTGATACAGCACCTTTCAACTTGTGCAAGCAATGAAGTAGGATGCTATATGTGGCTTCTTTGACTACACAGCCTAATAATCTGTAGAGAAAGTGCATGTAATTGTGTAATGAAAGATTAAGCTATTCTGCCTTACCACCTGCAAATTAAATTTATGTAATCCTTGAGTGATTGACTTTGCAACTTGAATAATGTTCTTTAATATGTGTCTGTGGGTTGCATATAGTTTTGTGGGTGAGTTGGGTCAGTTGCTCTCAGGAGCACATTTGATTTGGATCGTAAGGCTATACAGTAGTACCTCTTCGTCATATAACCTGGAGCATGTGTGCCGTGCCAGGCAGTGCTGCTGGGAGATACAGTCCTCACAGCCCTGCCAGAAAAGATGTGGTTGTATTATCCCCACAAAACCCCCTCTTTCAGCTGCTTAGCCTTTTGCTGCTTACCTCTGACGTTACTCAAGAGGTCTGGTCCCAGGTTGCTTCCTAATCCTTTTTCCTTCTCTGTGGCATTCATTCCTCTCTCATCTGTTTTTTTTTTTTTTTCTCAGGGAAATTAATTGAGCTTGCAGAACATGTTTGTTTTTTTAAAAGATATAGTGGGTTTTCATAAATGTTTGGTTCTTAGCAAATGAACAGACTAACTCTTAATACACATGGTTGCTGACTGTTTTTTCCTTATTTATAATATGTAATTTTAAGCATCTTCTTTCTGCATTTATTCAAATCAAAGACCATCATAAATGCAAAGCTTAATAGCTAGTGAAATCTGATGTCTACTAGTTTATTGTACTGGATGCTAATTACATTAAAAGACAAAATAATTTCCTTTAACTTCTTTAAATTCAACAGATATGAATGTGGATTTGGGGCTCTGTCTTTCTGAACAAGTTATTTATTATCTGGATAAATAACCAAATAAGGGTTTAATTAAATTCGGGTTGTTCAGTTCAGGCTGGTGAAAACAGGGCAATGAAGTTTGATCTGAATAATGATGTTTAAATTTAGCTTGAATGGATTTCATGCTATTGTGCTGAATTTTTTAATTGCCTTTCATTTTTCTAAACTTCCACAAGTGAGTCCTAACAGATGCTAAATGGGCAGAGTAAGAGACACTTCTTATAAAACAGAGCAAATAAAAATAGCATACAAAACCCTTGTAAGAAAAAACATGTTATGGATGCATCCTTGGTTTGTTATTAAAGGGTGTTGATCAGTATTCAGTGAAAACTTTACCCTTTTATAGTATTTCCACTGACACTTGTCACTTTTGATCTGTCTAAGTCCTTCAAACATAGGAAGAAATGGAAGACGCTTATGTGTTTATTCACAAAATAAATTGAATGGCTCAAGCGTAGTTCATAAAAGTTGGCATTCTCTCGGGGCAACAGGCAGAAAATGTAATGGCAGCAATATATCGTGTATGATACATCTCTTTCTCCAGATAGAGTTGAGAGGTCATTTTTTTGTGTTCTAGTTTTTGCAAATGCATATTTTCATTACTGGCTCTCAGTATGTTGTCTGAGTTGAACATACTTGGATTTACTCAATATAAACAGCATTTGCAGAAACAGAAGAACACAGAGTTTCCCTGAAGAAGTGAGTGGAATTGCTGCCTGGAAACCAGTCACGTAGCAACAGCCTTATTTCTATTCCAAAACTCTTTCCAAAACAAAAGGTAAGTACTCTTTTCTTGACCTTCAGTGCTAAACCTAATAAAGTATCAGTAACTGCAGCATAGGAGAATGTTTTTTCTCAGTGTGAATTGTTTCTTTCAAAATTCAGACAGCCTTCAAACTTTCACTCAATGCAAATGAGTGACTTGGATTTTCCTGAAGGTAACACAGCTCATCCTGGTTGTGAAGACATGCACAATTTTTAGGAAAAAGAAGGAATAATAATAAATAGTACTTGGGATTTTTTTCCTATTCTTGCTTTCTTAAGACTTAATTCAAAGATGAACAAAGAAGAAATTCGTTCTGTTTCTGGATTTGAGTATCAGTTGGGTAGTATATATTTGCAAACAATTTATTGCAGTAGCGATTATTCTCACCAGTGATCATTTGAATCAGGTATCTTTCAAATGCCAGAGATGACAAAGTGGAGTCAAACCATAGAGCAAATTCAGATCTGATGCTTCAGCTTTCTGTGCCAGTAGCTATGAATGGTTATACAGTGTTTAGAAATTAAAAGCTGTAGCCTGCCTTTCTCAAGCTTTAATTATCAAAAGAAAAAAAAAATTGAGTTTCATTTAAAGATGGGGTAAACAGAGGAGTTTGGATTTCAAGGACGTTTATTTAAAGATAGAACGTGTAATCTTCCCCTTGCTATTTCTACCTGTTGCACACACATTTGCAAAAGGAATGTTCTCAAATATTCTGCTGTAAGAAAAAAGCTGTTTTGATCTTTACAGACTACTTTGATTTTTAATTATAGAAAATTTTTGACTATGGAGAATAAGGTGTTCTCATGGAAAAGTAAGAGTGGACCTCCATCTCAGAAAGTCTAGCTGGGTACACGAGTGTAAAGCTTGATATTCTTGATACTCTTCCATTTTGCATTAGTAAAACCTCATAAAAGTATGAGACATTCTTGGTTCTCCCCTTAAATGTCTTCCCTCAAGCAGAAAAGATCCTGTATTTGTTGCAGTTTTGGGGGATCTGAAGTGAAGTGTGTGGAAGGACTTAAGGTGCCATGCATTCCTTCATATGACAAACTTTTCACTTTCTGTTTCATCTTGTTTCTATGGAAGGTTTCCAGTACTTAAAGTAGTTGATAGGTATAATTCCTGCCTGTACTTAAGGATATTGTTTGGACCAGGAAAATGAAGTCTAACATCATTTTTTTTCAGAATGAAATTTATATTTTGGTTTAAGACAGTTCACCAGTTTTTGACCAAAAGCAAGGAGCTCTTAGAGCTTTCCACATGATAGGGCAAGTTGAAACCTCTATTGCACAACTGTCAGCAGGTTGAAAGTGCAGAGACGGTTCTTTCTGTTGAGTGTTGTTTTATGTGAGCAAGAAATACTTTGTGATGTAAGAGAAAGTTGCTTCACTCATCACATGCCCACCTTCTAAAAGGTCAAATTCTGATCTCTCTTGCCTTGGTAGAAATTAAATCAGAATAAGACTCTGGCAGTATCTTGGGCAATTATGTTGTGGTTTAACCCCAGGCAGCAGCTAAGCCCCACACAGCCACTTGTGGAATGAGGGAGAGAACTGAAAAAGTAAAATGAGAAAACTTGTGGGTTGGGATAAAGACAGTTTAATAGGTAAAGCAAAAGCCACATACAAGCAAAGTGAAACTAGGTATGCATTCACCACTTCCCATTGGTGGCAGGTGTTCAGCCATCTCCAGGACAGCAAGGCTCCATCCATCATATGTAATGGTTAC